ACAGGAATGGGGATAGCTCGGTAACGGTAGTGTTTGGGGTTTTTTACTGTTGTTATCACGGTTCAAATTTACTGCTTAAAACATATCATGTACATCCTTTTTTTTAGCATCCGTTTGTTAAAAGTGCCAAAGGGGTGTCAATTTTGCGGGATTTAATTAATGAAGCAATGGATGTTAAGTTGAAACGCCAAGAAGCACAACAGCGGGAACTGGATCAAGATGATGAAGAGAATTCGGTGAGTGTTTAACAAATGCAGTCACTTAAACAATGGGGAAAGTCCCCTACTTCCCCATAACATCTGTACCCAACTGGTCTACTCTCTCTCTCTCTCTGGTGGTTTTAACTTAAACTTAATACAACATAATGATTAGCTTGGTTGTTGTCACCAGGTGTGGGTGCTGTGGGATTTTTACCTTAAAATGGCTCAGTTCAGTCTTAAACCCTCTCTACAATCCTGCTCCTATTTCCTTTATATTCTGGTAGGGTAATTAACTTTTGTAAGAATCAGCCCAACATTGTCGTAACACCCGCTACCACTAGAAAATTATCAGTCAAGTAAACTACTTTAAAGATATAGATACATATGCAAAAGATTCAAAAGGGTATTTCTATGCTGCTCGATGAAGCATGCTTTTTACTTTCTGTGCATGTACCAAACCCTGATATTGAGGCAGTGAAGCGCACCCTTTGGGGGCCACTTTCATTCGTGCCGGAGAGAGCTTGAGAGTAGTAGCAGGGGTGGCCCTGAAGGTGGATCTGTTACCTTATTTCTGAGTTGGCTGTGTGCAGAGTTGAAGCAGGTGCATGGTGCATGCTTCTTGGTGACCCTCTCAGGAGATTAATAACTTAATTTATTTCACAAATAAATGTTTCCCAGCACGATCAACCTTTTCCTTCCTAGTAAGAACTTCAGATTGTAGACTGCAGTCTTTTTGGATTACATTCTTAGCATAAAGTAGTGTTGGCTGTATAAAATAAGCTGTCTTCCTATTTCAACTTCTTAGAAATTCTGATATAGAAACTTCATGCTGTACAATAGAAATAAACACAGATGTCAGGGGAGGGGATGTATGCTTAGGCTTCTTGGAGTATGCAGTGTAGTGCTATGCATTTGTTCTCTGTTTGCATTTGGAGCATGTGTGGTACAGAGAGTATGTTGAGCTATCTTTGAGCACACTCTGACTGTTCAAACCTGACTGAATCAGATGGGCACTGAAAGACTTTTGTTCCAAAAAAACCTTTTCAGAGCCAATAGCATGTTTTGTTCCCAAATATTGATCTGTAGCAGGGAGGGATAATTATTTGTGTCCGCAGGCCATACAGGGAGTTTTGATTAGCTGTCATGGATCAGAACCCCACCTCCCTCCACAGCAGCTCATCAGAACTCAATATGTGTGATGGGGCTGCGGGCCAGTGGGGAGCAGGATAGGTGGGTGAAGAGGTGATCACAGGGCGGGGTCCCGGGGCAGTGACAGTACAGGGTGGGAGCGTGGAGCAGAACTGTGATCCACTACCCACATGCCCCTGCAACAGGCGCAGGTTCCCCCGGTGGGCATACAGCACAGCAGCTGGACTTCATATCCCAGCAGCTCAGCAGCAGCAGCTCCTGGCTGCCGCAGCTGTTGGCCCTGGCCCATCTGCCCTGCACCCACTGCCGGCGTCAGAATCTGCATGAGCAGAGTCCTTGGCCGGGCGCCTGAGATGGGGCTGCAAGTGGGCAAGGAGCAGCATCTGTGAGCAAGATGGGCAAGTGGGGCCAGGGAGACCCTGGGATCTTGTGGTGGTGACAGTTTGGGGCTCGGACCGGGGACAGAGCTGCACTCCGCTGCCCGCATACCCTTGCAACAGGTTCCATGGGCAGGGGTGTGTGGGGAGCAGATTGCAGCTCTCTACTGAGCCCCAGCTCCACGCTGTCACCACCCCAATGTCCCAGACCCCACTCTGGATGCAACTCCCTGCCCACCCATGGCCCCATATTGTCCACCTGGCCACATGCCCTGGCTCAGCCCTGTGTGGCAGTAATAGTGGGGGGCTGGGGCAGAGTTGCAATCTGCTCCCTGAATGTCCCTGCCTGCAATACCGAGGCTCTGTCCTGGCCCCATGCTGTCGCCGCCCCATGCTGTCACCATCCCATGATCCTGGGGTCTCAGTGGAGGATGGTCGGGACCCATGCAGGCAGGATGAGGCTGCTGGCAGAGAGCTGCATCCAGGGCCAGGTCCAGGATCTTGGGGTGATGACAGCGCGGGGCCAGATCTGGGCCAGCGCTGCAATCTGCTTCCTGCACGCCACTGCCCACAGGACCCATGTCTGTCACAGGAGCATGTGGGCAGTGGATCATGGCTGTACCCTGGGTCCAGGCCCCATGCTGTCACTGGTCCAAGATCCCAGAGTCTCCCCAGTCCCATCTGCCTATCTTGCTCCTGTATGCCACTTCCCACCTTATTCTTCAGTTGTGGCTGAATGGTGATTGAGAAGTAATTTTACTCATTATGTTGCCAGGTTGGATACCTTCAAGTCAGCCGGCCCTGACAATCTACACCCCAGGGTACTCAAGGAGCTGGCGAGCATCATAGCCCAGCCCCTAGCAAGGATCTTTGAAAACTCTTGGCACTCTGGTGTAGTGCCCAAGGACTGGAAGAAGGCCAACGTGGTGCCTATCTTCAAGAAAGGGAGGAAAGTGCATCCGGCAAACTATAGACCCATCATCCTGACCTCTATCCTGGGGAAGGTCTTAGATAAGTTTAAAGAGGCTATCCTTAATGGACTGGCCGACACCAACATCCTGAGGAATAGCCAGCATGGGTTTGTTGTGGGTAGGTCTTGCTTGACCAATCTCATTTCCTTTTATGACCAGGTGACCTATCACATGGACAAGGGAGAAGA